AGCATTTTTTGCATCCCAAAACCCCGCCCCTTCACCAAAATGGCCTTGCACAGCCTTTAGGAAGCTTCCAGAGTGCTCCTGGGAGCTCTGGGGGCAAGGTTGACCAGAAAATGGCCTGTTTTTTGCTCATTTCTGCCCTCCCCAGCCCCCAGGAGCACTCTGGAAGCTTCCTAAAGGCTGTGCAAGGCCATTTTGGTGAAGGGGCGGGGTTTTGGGATGCAAAAAATGCTGTATTCAGTGTATAAGATTTCCAGCCTCTTTTTTGAGGGAAAATACTCCGAAAAGTACGGTAATCCACACTTCTTGCAAAGAACATTGATTGATAGAGGAGAAAGTTCTAGACAATATTCCCATGGTATCAGCGGTGGTATTCAGCCGGTTCGGACCGCTTCAACCAAACTGGTAGTGGAAATCGCGGGTGGGCCATAAAGCTGGGCGCATGCATTGACGGGCGGGCGCGCTCAGATTTGTGAACTGGTAGGGAAAGTAAATGAATACCCCCCTCCCCAGCATGATATCTGTCAGAAAGATCAGGTCCACACGCGAAGGTCCAATTAAACTGATTTATTGCTAAAAATGTATACAGAGGAATCTTTTCAACTAACAGTGAGAATTTGCTTGGTGTTAGGTGAGGATCAATGGAATTCAAAGGAGGATGGGTTTCTTTACTTGTGACTACACAAAGATTCTAGGCTGGTCCCTCTTTTAACTCCACCTCCAGTTTCTTCTACTTCTGTTCCAGAGGTGGGTTCCGACAGAAACTCCTGCCGGTTCGCTCAGGGACAAGCTGTGCACATATGCACCCTTGATGCACGCTGTGCGTGCATGCGCAATACAAATAAAATTGCTCTGGGCAGGTGCAGAAGCAAAAACAAGATGGCGGTGACTAAGGTGCTGCCGGGAGAACCAGTTCGGGGGCGTGGCAGGCCTGGGTCTCTGCCGGTTCAGCCGAACAAGCTACTACCAGTAGGAACCCACCACAGCCCTGTTCCTATAGTTTCCTAGATCAAACTTCTCAACTTTTGTTTCTGCCCTTTGGAATCATTAAAACGCCGCTTAGAAACTAATAATGAACACGAAGTTAGGGAGATGGGTTATTATCCTTACCAGATTTCTTAGGGGTTCTGGTGAAGATCCCTTTCACTGTCCGGCAATGTGAATTATCTCCTCCACAAACTCCACACTTGTCTTCAGCTTTGTTGGATCCGATCTCTTTGTTGCAACCAACTTTCTGCCGAGAGAAGCAGATAAGCAGAACGGAGAGAAGCAGGAAGATGCGGATGAAAATGTAGCAATAGCCCTTAAGACTTCTGTACTGCTTCGTAGTCATTTACAGCCTTCTCTAAGTGGTTTACAGAGTCAGCATTTTGCCCGCAACAATCTGGGTCCCCGTTTTACCGACCTTGGAAGGATGGAAGGCGGAGTCAACCTTGAGCCAGTCAGGATCAAACTCCTGGCAAAGTTAGCCCTGCAATACTACATTCTAACCACTGCACCACCACGTGGAAATGTATCAGTTCGCGATGCTGTTGTTATGGCCAGCTGGCCGCTGGCCCTTCCAGCAGCTGAATCAGAGGAGGAGGCGTGGGAATCAGGGTCAGCACCAAGGCAACCTGAGAGCTCCGAGGGGGAAGACGGAATGGAGGTGGCAGAGAGAAAGAGAGAGAGAGACAGAGAGAGAGAGAGAGGGAGAGAGAGGGAGAGAGAGGTGGAGCCTGGTCCGTCCGTCAGCCCTCAAATAGAGAGTGAGGTCTGGAGGTGGATAATGAGGAAAAGGAGGAACAGCTGGGTCCAGTGCCTGACGCATGGATNTTGTTGCTCTTCTCTGCACTCTTTCTAGAGTCTCCACATCTTTTCTACATCGATCAAAACTGAATGCAGTATTCCAAGTGTGGCCTTACCAAGGCATTATAAAGTGCTATTAACCCTTCACATGCTTCTACTTCTACACCTTTCCATGACCAATTGGAAAGCTCAGTTTTGATTTTCCCATTGTTCTATCCCAAATGACGTTATTTAAGCATAATGTGAGCTAAAAGTATCAATTGCCATTGTAGGATTGTGGTTAAGGTACTGGACTGAAACCAGGGAGAGCTAGGTTCTAGTACAATAATACAATAATACGATGGCAGAGTTGGAAGGGACCTTGGAGGTCTTCTAGTCCAACCCCCTGCCTAGGTGGGAAACCCTATACCACTTCAAACAAATGGATATCCAGCATCTTCTCAAAAACATCCAGTGTTGGAGCATTCACAACTTCTGGAGTATTTTTTCAAACTTGACAACTATAAGATGTGTGGACTTCAACTCCCAGAATTCTCCAGCCAGAGTTGCTTAATGTTGCTAAGTTTGAAAAACACTGATGGAGCCTATTGTCAGTCATAGCTCATTGGATAACTTTGTGGGGTCATAATGTACACTATCTTGAGAGGGTTGGAAACCTACAAAACAAATACACAACGTGAATGTTGGATCCATGTTGTCTACCCAGACTGTAATTTGGACCCACAGTCTCTCTAACTCTTTAAAACTCTACATTATGGTTGCAAGCAAAATGCTGAAACTTGTCATCTTGTGGCACTCAAGTACATGGAAAATCACTTCCTGTAGGCAATCCCTACAGGGAGCAGCTGTCCGGAGCACATATGGGCAATCTCCTGTCCTCTCCTCATCCAGACAGGTTCCAAGGAAGTGGTCTACTAACCGGTTCCTTGGTCTATGCTGCAGTTGTTGGCTCCACTTTCACAGAGCTATGATCAGTTAGTTGTGTCTCCCCTCCCCAAAGGTTTCTTATATATATATATTTAAAGTCACAACCCCTGGTATGCCCAAATATGGGATGAAGGTCACTACTTCCATTCTCTGTCCATCGGCTCGTCA